GTGACCCCGGGTCACGCAGCCAGTCGCCTCTTTGTCTTTGTAATAATTTTCACTGCTGCGCTCTGCTGTGCCCGCTCTGCTTGCAGTGTGGCCAGAGCCATAGGCATATGAGCGCCAAGGGGTGAAAGTCAAAAGAGAAATCCTTACAGGGAATCAGACTTACTCTGCTCACCTCTCTTGCTTCAACAGCACAAAGTCTACTTCGACTATCAAGGCACCCCGGAAATAGCGGGTCACAAGAGTGAGACAAACATACAAAAGAAGTAGAGGAAAATGACGATAGTAAGGAAAAGGGGGGAAAAAACATGCTCAGTTCCCTGTTGTAGTTCAGGCAGAGTTATGAATATGACATTGTTGGATCAGCCCATTTACAATTCTACTGCACAAAAGAACGAGAAATGCCTCCCCCCCCCTCCTTTGGGAATGGCCGAAAGACACTTGTCAGTGGCACCGCCACCACCATTTTGACTCGTGTTTAGAGAGGCCTTTTTCAACACTAAGATCATTGGGCCGAACACACAATTTCACTGCCCATCTTTTTATTTTTTATTCGTAAGAGTCTTACGGCACTTCCAATACAATAAGGTCATATAAGAGCCGAAGATTAGAGTTTTAGTTTCTGTAGAGGTATAACGGCGCTCGCAACGGCATAAGGTCATGATGAGCGCCAGAAGATTAGAGGTGTTACAAGAGAGTAAAAAATATAAAAAACAAGGAGGAAGGATAAGGACGATAGGTGTTTGGTAGAAAAGAAGGAGCAAACCACACCAGAGCACCCGCCAACCACCCACACGGTCCTCTCTGACAAAGCTGAGGCACGCAGGAGAGCGGAGAAAAACTTCTCAGAAAACCCAAGTTCTAGGAAAACGCCCACAGAGATTTAAATTTCAACCCGGTTCATCCGGGAAGAAGACGATGATGCTAACGGACTTTTTCACAACAGCGGTTATCAAACTGATGGAGTAACTGAAGGGTGGGTGAGAAAATCAAAGTAGAACAGAAGAGTGAAAAAGGGGAAAAGAAGGGGGGGGGATAAAGAAGGGTGAAAAAAAAAGAAAAAAGAAGAAAAAATTAATCAGAAAGAAAGATGGGTCGACTAGTTAATCAGAAAAATACTCAACCCTTTAGAGCCCAAAGAAAGGAATTCCTG